AGAACTGATACAGGATACAACAGACTTTTTTTTTTTTCCCCTCTGAATTAGCATAGGGTTTTTTTGTGCAGCACTACACAAAGCAAAATTGAAAAGATAGTTTCACATTTCATAAGTAAGCTGATACGTATCGATATCTGCCTCTGCTGGACTCACATGAAAGCAGTGGCAACTGAGTCCAAACTCTGGTCATTCTCCAGTATCTTTCTCTTTCTAAAAAGTTATCCTCGTCATATGCTTTATTTGCTGCCTTCTTCTGACCTAACTCCTATGTTTTGCTAATTCTTACATTTCCTAATTTTGATCTGGATAGCTATATAATAAGTATAGTTAACCTCTGGTAACTTGCATACCCAAAACACATCTTTTAGGAAGGAAGAGAAAAATGAAATCGCCTTCCTTCCGCGTTACCCTGGAGACTGCGCTAGCAGTGAATAAAAGCCTGAGTCAGAGCACAGAAATGTGGGCTCAGCGCAGAGATACAATATTTGGTGCCTGCCGCCGCACAGGTCAGTGAGCTAAAAGTGAGGCAGCAGAGCTGCCGGCCCCACTGCTGCTACGAGCTCTCACTCGCGCTCGGTGCGGGTCTGAGTGCTGAACACACGCGGGAGGAAGCAGAGAGCTGGCGAGCTCCCACCGAACATGCAGTGACCGATATGTATAGACAAGGCACCTAGCACGGTTTTACAGAGTATTTCCTGCATTTTGCTCCAATATTAGACCCTGACAAGGTCTGTTTGATTAGGCCTATCAACTTCTGCATGGCAAGATGGACACCGACTGAAATCCTCATTTTCAAAAATGGATCACAGAAGACAAATTACTGAGTGCTTGTCCTGTCAAATAAAAGCATTTGCAGGTAGCTCAACAATAATTTTAATCTACCTGATTGAATCGCTACCCACTTATTCAAAACAATAAGAAAGGAAACCTATGCACGAAGAACACAGTATCTCAGTGTTCGGCAGCAATACATCTCAATCCTCCTGCAAAATATGTATCTTTTTAATTGTTAAATGATCCGTAGTTAGTTGAGAAATAGAAATTCCACAGAAACTTCAGTCCTTCTTATGTGATGATACAATGCTTGGATGGATGGATGCATAGCTAGATATATGAGTGTTTGTTTTTTAAATAATCCTGTTTGATTTGACAATCTTTTTTATTTGCTCAAAATTTAGATGAGCAAATGCAATATAGCAATTTGATTTAAGTGTGTATCTGCCATCCCTTTGCAACCAAACCGCATTTCTTTCCTCTTCAGTCCTTCCAGGAGCTCAGAGTACTATGGGCTTAACTACAATTAATATACTTTCTTAACGGGAAATGCAAGTTTCTATTCTCCATTAGAAGCTAAAGATAACACAGCATTAAAATTCCAAAAGCTACATTTCACACTTTTTGGTGCAAAAAGAGTTGATTTGTTGTAGCAGCAAATATTAGGGAGGAGTAAGGGAGAAAATCCAGAGCTACCACCTAGAAAGAAAACATCCTACGCTCAAATTTTACAGATGAAGCTGAAAGGTCTCTTGAATAGGTGTGAAAAACATAATGCAAGAATTGTACATTATTAATCTTATACAGATCAGCGACAACAAACAACAACAGATAAAAGCATCAAGGATCCATAAGAACACAGACTTCACACAAAGAGAAGGAAAAACTGTACCCATACAATCGTTATAAACAAATACATGAGAGAGGAAGAACCAAAAGAAGATTGCATCTGATTCCTGTGCAAAAGCTATCCAAAGAGGGGAAAACCCAGCTAATTCTTTCCTTATGCAAAGCCAGTGAATAAAGGGCTTTTCTTTATTGTTCAGAGGAGATCAAAATTACATCAAACATCACATCCAGAGAATGAGATCATTTTTAAACTACAACTTACAGAAGCAATAATTAGATACTTTAAACCGTATTCTTAAAAAAAAAATTCCCCCTCAGAAAAAGTTACCTTTATTTCTTAATTACATTCCTCTACACAAAGTAACCCTTGTGTCTTCCTATTAGCTTCATACCTAATCTTCAAGCACCAGTGAACCCAGCCATTCACTAGGAACAAAAGCACCTACAGTTCCAGCTTTCATTGGTGGTTTCTTTTTTCATTGGACACAAGCCAAACTTGATTTATTTGAGGAGGGAAGTAGCAGACACACATAAGCCACTATTTATTTTCAGTCCTCATACAAGACACCTGATACAAGGCAAGATGAAGAGAAAATGAAGGATTCAGTGCACAAGCATGAGAATTCGCAAGAGTAAAAAGTTGGAGGGATGGTAGAAAAGGAGGGGGGAGGGTGGAAACGGATGAGTTTGGTTTCCAGCAAAAAGGTTCCTTTCGTTTTGGCAGGTGAATATGCTGTTGTTCCTGCAGAGACCTGGGCAGCTCAGGTGCCCTGTGTTTAAATCACAATCGTTTTCAAGTAACCACCAGGAAAAGGACCTGCAATCAGGAGAGCTGGTGAGCCCTGGTGAGCAAATATTTCTCATTCTCCGCTTATCTTTTAGTATACCAAAGAGTGTTGATAGATAAATGTGTTAGTGATAAGAAAAGGACAAATCATAGATGCTTAGAGATTAATTAGCAAAATGTTTGTTCTGACAGGGAGATGGAGGCAGTTTCTAGGGTGTTGGCTGTCATTTTTTCTCTTTAAATCGATTAGCTAACTATTGGATCATGAAACATTAAAAATTCAGAATATTAAGTTTAAACCACCCCCAGCTATGGCTCCATGAATTATCCTTCTGAAAGCCTGTGGGCTTTCAATAGAATGAAGATCAATTACTTAAGCTTAAGATAAATAATCCTGTAACTTGGAGAAAATTACACTTTGATTTTTAAAGATATTCATCATGAAAGAAAGGAGTGATTTACACATTGCATACTTGATTTATGGTGACGCATCTGATGTGGTTTCAGAGCCATAATTATTAATGTTTAAATAGAGTTTTAAGATGTTGATATAAATGCTAGATGTCATTTTTAATATTTGATAGGTAAACTGATACTAAGCGTAGTTATTAACCTTCACAGAAAGTAGTTACAAATACTCATTTGTCAAGAATATAATGCTAGTTTGTAGTGATTGGCTTTTGCTGAATCAAGCTAGTGGTCTGCACAAATATGTTGAAAGTTTAAATGAAATTTCTAATCCCAAAAATCTTCAGTCCCCAAGCTAACATAAAAATTTTAGTTTCTCTTTATGAAACACTGGAAAATGTCACATTTTGTCATTCAACATCCATAATCTCAAACTGTTAAATTAAGAGGCAGACTTATTAAGTGCCAGAAGAGACTTCTTTCTAAAAACTAAGCCAATGATAGCTAACACATAGAAGCCTAAGGGAGGAAAATGTGAAACAAATAGCAACTCTAGAGTTGTGATGCTACAGGGTGGGAAAGGGGAACCATTGTAGATGAGACTGAAAAGGGAAAGTATTATAGTGATTGTATTATTATTTTAAGAAACCTAGAGAAATTTCTGCAGAAATAAGGAATTGTTATGATGATACTTAAAAAGAATTTCTCCTTCTTTTAAAGGTGCAAATTTTCCTCCAAACCCTTGAATGAAAACCTTTCTTTATTGAGTTTGCCAGGTATTGAAAGTGGCATTGGAATTTATTCACCCAAAAAGGAATGAATAAAATTGATTTTAGTGGCATAGAGGGATCCATTAAAGCAAGGATAAAAGCTTTTACACTTTTCCTGACCGTCTGCCCTAAGAATTATGAAGCATCTTCTTTTGACAGTGCTTGGGGCTGTAATGCCATACTGGATATTGTTACTAAATTCCAATTTTAAATTTTCTTTATCAATATAGGCTAAAGCGGGTGTGGTTGGGGGGATATGTTTAAGTTAAAAAACTTTCTCAATTAACTGATAAAGCTCAACCTCTGAAAACTGGAATGTCCTGTAAGAAGAAAACTAACAAGGTGACTGGGTGATATCCTGGGCTATGCACATTGTATTTCTTAGTACAGCAGGTTCAAACCAACCTGAACACTATAACTTTAATGCCTAAAGATGACTGTATCAGGAAGACATAAGACCTAGATGAAATTAATTGAATTTTTAAAATGTGATTTTTTTTTTTTTTTTGGTAACGTCTCTCCTGCAAGCTTTGGTTATAGTGCTCTAACTTTTGTCAGGACCAGACGTTACTCCATTTCTTATAGTGATCTTTGTCATGAAGAGAAGTAAATCACTTCAGAATATTGAAATACCTGGGAGCTCAGATGAATTGCTTCTTAAAGGAGGACTTGAGCTGAAAATTAGTTTACAAATACTATGAAGAATGGGAAAAATATTACGCATTTCATTGTGAGAAACACCTGGAAATCAGAATATTTATTTCACATCTATCAGGCTCTCTTCATGTTCTGGTTCATGAACCGTAGGCTAAAAATTGAATGATAGTTTCAATATTCTGGAGAAATTTACTGCCCTAACATGGATTACAACAGGAGGCAAACACTTGTTGTTTTTTTGTTGCTGTTTCCCTATTTTATTAAGGGGGATATCATGAGAAACTTTTAGACCAGAAAATCTACTATCTATAAAAAAAAAAAAAACATGCTGTTATGTTTTACTGAAATTAAAAAAACTAATAGAACAAACAACTAGCAGTACTATCTTGTTGTATTCGTGATTTAGTGTTATACGATTGTACTCATTTATGATAATCAAACTCTGACTAAGTAGAAATGAAACTGAAATGAATTCTGTTCCCCGATCTATTGTAGTGAGAACCATTACTTGCAGCTTTTTTTTGACAGCTCGAATCAGTATTGCATAATATAGAGTTTAAATAAATCCATTTTGCACTGTCTTCAAAGGAGGCCATTTACAGAAGTAATCAAAACTGTCTCTGTAGTATAGATTGTTAAAATGCCATTAACAAGTTGATTTACTTTGTACAGGTGACGAATCCAGGCAACTAAAGCTGTTGCATTTTTTCCAGTTTCCTTGCTCTATTGAAAGAGATCTTCTTAAAGAAATAATGCTGCATTCAACATTGGCCTTGTCTCTCCTACTAATTGCAGTTTCTTCCAACCTTGCAATGGCAATCAAAAAGGAAAAAAGAGCACCTCAAACACTGTCAAGAGGTCCTGTATTTTTATTTTATGTACTTAACCCTTTTATCCCAATGAATAGGTCATCAAAAGTTTTTACTTAGAATATATCTGAAAGCATATATATACTTATATATAAGTTGTGTTTCTCTAGTATTAGAGGGCGCTCTAAATCATGCATCTTCTTATTCCATGACTTCTCACTCCTTTGGTTTGTTCTGAAGAATATGGCTGAAGGCCTAATATAGCCTGCATAATTCACATATCTCACAGTGACCTCATAGAAGCAAATAATGTAAACTGAGTCTCCCAAACAGGTCAGCACTTGTAAAACTATTAGTGAAAAATCTTTTTTACATATATCTGTTAAAATATAATTTCATAGGGTAACTTGTAAGTACCAAAATTCAATTTCATAATTCCAGTTTCTATGGAATGTTTTTCCTACAGATCCATATTTCTACAAAGAACAACAGTTTGAACTGCTTTTTTTTAGTTTTTTTAGTTTTTTTTTTTTTTGCTTTTCATCACATACTTTCATTTACACATTAAAGAATTTTATTGTTGTGCATAATTTTCAACTTGGATGTTAACTAGAGTCCCTATTTCAAGTTATTTCTGTCTGATGAATCTTTAGAAATATGAGTAGAGGAATAGATTACTGAGGTCCTTTCTTCTTCTCCATTTTCCCTCTCTTTTAAGGATTTTAGATAAGCCTGTTCCCACTAAAGAATCTCCCTCTCCCTACCCGACCTCTTCTGCAAGCTGAGTAGAGCTTCCAAACCCCACAGGCATCATCCACAGCTCCTCCCAAGAGCTCTTCCAGTAGAAAATGCAGGCAAAGCCCTGTATGGCTCAAAAGCCTCTTCTGAGCTTGGTTATCCAGGGGGAATTGATTTCAGCCAAGGCTAGGAACTTGTGGGTCAACAGGCCAGAATCTCCCCGTCAACCAGATAGGTAAATCTGTAATCAAAATCACTCTCCTGAAAGAAGAGGAGACCTAGCTGCGTCACAAGCAATTGTCCCCATGAGAAGGTTAACACTAAATCTGCATAATCAGGACTGGTCCAAGCAGTGTCCAGACAACACAGAAGAAACCTTAACCTGGTGCAGATCCAGAAGCTTTTGTGTCCTGTAACATGGAATTCATCTGATAACTTAGCAAAAGAAAACGACACTGCTCAGGAGTCTGGAGTCCACTATGCAAGGGCTGACATCTTTGGGATTTGAAGGCATGAAACCAACTGGGCTATTTGCCTTTTGAGATTCATGTATCACTGCTGTGGATGAACTATGAAGCTGAGGACCTGTTTGCACTTTGTTTCTGTGGAGCTTTTTATTGAATAGTCATTTTAGAATTAAATTATTTAATTAAATGGAGTACTTTCAACTCCAGGGATTTAAATTCATGACTCGGGAGTTAGTCTTAAAACTGTAATGTATAAAACATATTACAGTTGATCTT